GTGCAGCAGTGGGTTTTACACTGTCATAGACCTACACCCCGCCATCCCATATCCAGTTCATTGGGAGGGTGTAACGTTTGCCAACCTGAAAAAAAAAATATCAGATGTGTCAGATTAGCCAGAATATCGTTCCCTGGTTCCTGTTTGAAGCCCCTTTTTCAGGAGCCTGAAGGGTTCTGTGGGGGACAGACCTCGGAACCTCTTCCTCCGATGCTGTCAGTGTTTCAGGCTTACCCAGGGCAGGGAACACCTACCTTTCAGAGCAGGAAGCTGGTTTTAGGTCCACACATTTCTTTTAAAAAATAGCTAAGTTTTGAGCTTTTTAGCTAGATGTATACACCCTTTATTTTCTAGAAGAAGCACTTGTTTCTCCTTAAAAAATCTTAACATCCCCTATATCACTAGGATACCATGTGTCATATTTCGTGTGTGTGTGTGTGCCAAAACAACACATAACAAAATTGACTATTTTAACCATTTTTAGGGGAATAACGTAGTAGTGTTAGCACATTCACAGTGTTGTGCAACCGTCACCGCTATCCATCATTCTAACCATAAACTTGGTACCCATTAAACAGTGAGACACGATTCCCTCCCCCCATCCCCCAGCCTCTGGTAACCACCATTCTATTTCCTGTCTCTATAAATATGTAAATATGCCTATTCTAGGTATCTCAAATAAGTAGAATCGTAGACTAATTGCCCTTCTGTAACTGGCTTATTTCATTTAGTATGTTTTCATCCATATTGTAGCAAGTGCCAGAATTCCATTCCTTTTTGAGGCTGAGTGATACTCCATTGTATGTGTAGACCACATTTCATTGATCTCCTTACCCATCTGTGCACACTGGGGTTGCAGTCACCTTTTGGCTACTGTGGCTGTTGTCATCAACATGTGAGTACATGCGTGTTAGGTTTAATGTGTAGCAAGTTTACCTGGGTGTGTTTGCTTTCCCCCTGCACATGCGTCTTATCCCCCCAACTTAGTGATCAGTTCCACAAGTCAGGGGCAAGCCTCATATTTCCGTTATTTGCTACCATCTGTTCTGCCTCTCCAGTATCGGTTGTATTATAGGGATACAAATACCCGATGATAACAGACAATGAAAGCTAAAGTTAAAGAAGAAAACTGTTTAGAGGTACCTAGCATTGAAATCGTTCTTTGATGTTCATTTTTGCTCAGGGAGAGCATTGGACTTGCTCTCCCAAGCTCCACTGAGCAGGAGCCAGAATCCCAATTGTGCGTTCAGTTCATGCTGAGCTAACATGCTGGTGACTGTGGATTTATAGATGCCTTTTTGTGTGTGTGTGTGTGTGTGTGTGTGTGTGTGTGTGTGTGCTGTTTTTGTCTTCTGGATGAAGTATAAGTACCACATTTACTTGGGACATGAAACTGGGTCTCCAGGCCTAGGAAGTTGTAGGAGAGAATATGTCCGATTTCTCTTTCAAAGATGTGTCTTTTGTTCTTCCCAGAGTTGTTGCAGGATTAGTTTGGGCTATACACTGACCCCCTAGAGCCGTGGTCGGCAAACCGCGGCTCGCGAGCCACATGCGGCTCTTTGGCCCCTGGAGTGTGGCTCTTCCACAAAACACCACCACCTGGGCGAGTCTATTTTGAAGAAGTGGCGTTAGAAGAAGTTGAAGTTTAAAACATTTGGCTCTACAAAGAAATTTCAATCGTCGTACTGTTGGTATTTGGCTCCGTTGACTAATGAGTTTGCTGACCACTGCCCTAGAGAAATCTTATATTGGGGGAAAACAAAGCAATTTACTTAAAATGCAAACTTGGGATAAATACAGAACTCAGATTTATGATTGAAAGTGGCCCTGATATAATGTAAGAATATCTTTTAAGTATTTTTGCTTGGCACATAGTTAATTGCTTTGTGGAGAACCAAAGTTTTGTCTTTCCAGTTACATTTAAGAGACAGCTCATATTAAAAGCATGTTCATAAAAGGTCCTTTAAGGCTTTTATTTTTTTACTTTTTAAATATATTTTTATTGATTTTTTTACAGAGAGGAAGAGAGAGGGATAGAGAGTTAGAAACATCGATAAGCTGCTCTTGCACACCCCCTACTGGGGATGTGCCCGCAACCAAGGTACATGCCCTTGACCAGAATCGAACCTGGGACCTTTCAGTCCGCAGGCAGATGCTCTATCCACTGAGCCAAAGCAGTTTCGGCCTTTAAAGGCTTTTAAAGCAAACAACAAAGCCTGGGAGGAGATGGATTTTAGAAGCTGCTTTGGTGGAATTTCACCAACTGGCTGTTTGCACACAGTCAGGTGTGCCCACAGGGAGGGGACAATGAGGCCATTCACGCCAGGAAGTAGGAAGCACAGGCAGACCGCTTGTTTACAACCTGACAAGTGGGTCCTTAATACTTCTCACCTTCAGATCAGTGACATCGGCTTTCAGAAGATGCTGCCAGAACATGTTTTAAGGAGGATAAAATTCCGCTTGCATATGGCTTATGAACAAGGAATATGTCCCTTTATTATAAAGGTCTGTTAGCATTTACTTCTGCAAGTAATCCAGTCTTAGCCACTCCTTTCTGCCTGGTTAGCGCTGTAACACTAGCCGGTCTGGGGGTAACGTCTTAGGTCAGAATGTTAAATTGGCAACAGGTTTACTTCACAGCAAATCTCTGCTTTATTTGGAAAGCTATTTCCTCCCTCTCTCTTCTTTTCATTCAAGAGGTTTCTTTAAGTCCTTTCCATGCACTTTACTGACACAACAGTTCATGGGAAATGTATCTTCCCCCTGGCACCCCGGGTTCTGGAGTGATGGGTGTATTTGCCTCATGGATGGGCCATGCTCTTCCCATAGTTCCTTGAACCCTGTCAAGTCTCTTCCTCCTCCCCCTCCTGCAACCTGGCCCCCACCTCCCAGAATGCACAGCTGGTTTTGCATGCCTTCTAATCCAAGTTGCTGACAAGTCTGCCAGACCCTCACGTAGCTTTAAAAAAAATGTTTTTAGCCGAAACCGGTTTGGCTCAGTGGATAGAGCGTTGGCCTTCGGACTCAAGGGTCCTAGGTTCGATTCCGGTCAAGGGCATGGACCTTGGTTGCAGGCACATCCCCAGTAGGGAGTGTGCAGGAGGCAGCTGGTGGATGTCTCTCTCTCATTGATGTTTCTAACTCTCTCTCCCTCTACCTTCCTCTCTGTAAAAAATCAATAAAATATATTTTAGAAAATGTTTTTTATTGATTTTAGAGAGAGAGGAAGGGAGAAGGATAGAGATATAGATGGAAATATCGATGAGAGAGAAACATGGATGGGCTGCCTCCTGCATGGCCCCCAACTAGAGACTGAGCCTGCACACCAGGCATGTGCCTCGACCAAGAATTGAACCAATGACCTCTGGGTTGATGGATCGACACGCAACTGAGCCACACCTCACGTGGCTTTTATTTTTTTTATTTTTTATTTTATTTTTAAATATATCTTATTGATTTTTTACAGAGAGGAAGGGAGAGAGATAGAGAGCCAGAAACATCAATAAGAGAGAAACATCTACCAGCCGCCTCCTGCACATCCCCCACCGGGGATGTGCCCGCAGCCAATGTACATGCCCTTGACCGGAATCGAACCCGGGACCTTTCAGTCCGCAGGCCGACACTCTACCACTGAGCCTAACTGGTTTCGGCCTCACGTGGCTTTTAAATAAAGGTTTCAATGTACAGAGGCTTCTTTCCTTCACTCTGGCAGTCTGTCAGCTAGTGACTGTACTCGGTATCCTGTGGAAACACATCGGTGCCCGCTTCACAAGGCATATTCACTGAGAGATCCATGCGTGGGGAAGTGGGTTTGAAACAGTGAACTGTCCCGCAGCTCCTGGGTTACGCGCCAGCGGAAGGTGTCCTTACGTTCCACCTCCTTTGCAGGAGAAGAGCCGGAAGGAAAGCCTGAGCTTCCATTCTGCCTCCCTGGGCCTGTGGGTGCCCAGCCCACAGAAGGCCCTGGTCAGACTGAGCTGCTGGGCAGCCACACCTTCTGTGGCCTCGGCCTATGCTGCCCTGAGACAAGCTTCCGTAAACACTTCATTCCGAGACCTTACTTTGGTTTCTAGAGCTTTATATTCAGGGCTCTTTTTTTTTTTTTTTTTTTTGTCATTTGCCATTTGCCAATGACATAGTTTAGGTTCCTTCCTTCCTTCCTTCTTTCCTTTCCTTTCCTTTCCTTTCCTCCTTCCCTCCCTCCTTCCCTCCCTCCTTCCTTCCTTCCTTCCTTCCTTCCTTCCTTCCTTCCTTCCTTCCTTCCTTCCTTCCTTCTCCCCCTTCCCCCCCTTCCCCCCCTTCCCTTCCCTCTCCCTTCCCTCTCCCTCTCCCTCTCCCTCTCCCTCTCCCTCTCCCTCTCCCTCTCCCTCTCCCTCTCCCTCTCCCTGTCCTTCTCCCTCTCTCCCCCCTCTCTGCCTCTCCCTCTCCCTCTCCCTCTCCCTCTCCCTCTCCCTCTCCCTCTCCCTCTCCCTCTCCCTCTCCCTCTCCCTCTCCCTCTCCCTCTCCCTCTCCCTCTCCCTCTCCCTCTCCCTCTCCCTCTCCCTCTCCCTCTCCCTCTCCGCCTCTCCCTCTCCATCTCCCTCTCCGCCTCTCCCTCTCCCTCTCCCTCTCCCTCTCCCTCTCCCTCTCCCTCTCCCTCTCCCTCTCCCTCTCCCTCTCCCTCTCCCTCTCCCTGTCCTTCTTCCTCTCTCCCCCCTCTCTGCCTCTCCCTCTCCCTCTCCCTCTCCCTCTGCCTCTCCCTCTCCCTCTCCCTCTCCCTCTCCCTCTCCCTCTCCCTCTCCCTCTCCCTCTCCCTCTGCCTCTCCCTCTCCCTCTCCCTCTCCCTCTCCCTCTCCCTCTCTCCTCCTCACCCCCCCCCCCTCTGCCTCTGCCTGTGATATGCTGTAACCCACTGGGACACATTTCCCCTTCCAGAAAGCCGGCGTGGGCTCCCTCCTGAGCACGTCTGTTCCTCCTTGTGCCCCAGGAGAGGATTAACCCCGCTGTTCTCTGCTTTTCAGACCTGGCCGAGGAGCGCCTCGGGGACAGCAGCCTGGCAGACGGCTCGGAGACCTTCAGCGACAAGGACGCGGACCCCAGGAGCTCCCCGGACGTGGCAAACGGCAAAGGCGGCTGCTTCGCGCCCGAGAGCCCCGAGGTGGTGCCGGTGGAGGAAGGTGGGTACCCCGCCGGCGGCCAGAAACACGGGGGCGCCTCGGACGGCCGCCCCGGCAGCCCCAAGTGCCCCGGGGAGCAGCAGAGCCACCTGCTCATCGAGGGCCCCTCGGGCACCGTCTCGCTGCCCTTCAGCCTGAAGGCCAACAGACCCCCGCTGGACGTGCTGAGGAAGATATTCCCGCACCAGAAGCCCGCGGTGCTGGAGCTCATCCTGAGGGGCTGCGGCGGGGACCTGGTGGGCGCCGTGGAGGTCCTGCTGTCCAGCCGGTCCTCGGGGTCGGCCGCCGCCGCCGAGCGGACTGCCGCGGCCGCCGCCGCCGCCGAGCCCGAGGGCCTCGTGTTGCCCGCCAACGGGCACCTCTTCGAGCACACGCTGGGCTCCTACCCCCTCTCCTCCTCCAAGTGGTCCGTGGGCTCGGCCTTCCGCGTCCCGGACACGCTGAGGTTCTCGGCGGACTCGGGCGGCGGCGTGGTGCCCGGCCCCCTGGCCGTGCCCCTGCAGCACCCGTTCCCCCAGCCGCCCCGCTACCCGCTGGTGCTGAGGAACAGCCTGGCCAGGAGCCAGGCCAGCCCCTTCCTGCCCAACGACGTGGCCCTGTGGAACACCATGACGCTGCAGCAGCAGTACCAGCTGCGGTCCCAGTACGTCAGCCCCTTCCCGGGGGGCAGCAGCTCGGCCGCCAGCGTCTTCCGGAGCTCCCCCGTCCTGCCCGCGCGGGCCCCCGAGGACCCCCGGATCTCCATCCCCCCCGAGGAGGGGTGCCCCATGGTGTCCAAGCAGCCCCTCTACACCGAGGACGACTACGACGAGCGATCCGACTCCTCGGACTCCAGGATACTCAACACGTCCTCTTAAAGGGGCGCCGGGTGGATGGACGGGGCCGGGTGGCTCGTTCTGGGCATCTGAGCCCTGGGGGATGGACGGAGTGGGGGGGAGGCTGAGGAGAAGCCACATCCTGTGTATTCCTTTTCCTTCTGTTGGACAGGGTGACTGTGCTTGGTTCTGTTGGCAATAAAAAAAACAAAACAAAACACGTAACTTATTTAATTTCTTGCACTTCACTGGGAAATGCCAAATAGCTCTGCTCTGTGGCTTTCGTGCTGAAATGCTTATTGTGCCAGAGCGTCTCAGGCTTAAGCATCGTCTTGGGAAAACTGGGACCACGGAAGATTTATGTGTGTCAGCTTTGCTCCTAGACTCCACCCGGAGTGTCCGATAAAAAAAAAAAACGTATACTTGAATGCAGTTTGGCGAAGGGATTGCTCAGGACGTGCGGCTCCCAAAGGAAGGGGTGCTTGGATTGCGGACGGACTGCCGACAGGGACATTATATTCCTAACGCTGGGAAAACCCGTCTTGCATCTTTAGAGAGAGAGAGACTGCTCCTAAGAACAGAGCAAACCGCTCACATGCTTATTTAAGCTTGGACAGTTTTCAGAGACAAAACTCCATTAAGAATTATTCCTTTCACATGGCTGAACCGAAACACGTGTAATGTCAGTGTAAAACCCGTCACAGCTGTGAACTGCATGAAATGTGTTGTGAAATGAACACAAGATTAAGCTCTGCCGGGTTAATGTAGCATGCTAAGGGCTCTAGAAGAAATAAAACTAAGGAGACGATTTTGGTGCATGTCATTTCTGCTTGTGCAAAGGGGACCTCTGAAAGTAGGAACCTGATGTAAAGGCAACTTAGGCTAGTGCCTGGGTCCCACCTCCAGGTGTCCGTTAAATGAGGCACTCCTTGAGAAATCCCCATGACAGAGTTTTGGGGGTACAGCCAGAAAGACGGAGAATGTATTTGTTCAAGAATAGAGTTCCTTCGCTGCCTCTATCCATTCATTCATTTCTTCAACAGACACTTATTGAGTGCCTACTATGTGTTACAATGCTCCCTGTATGTTATTGTCCAAGGTACCTGCCTGTGAGCCGAAGACAAACAGGGATGGTAATGGAGAATCCCATTACAATCAAAGGGATGGTAATGGAGAATCCCATTACAATGGGGAATCCCATTACAAACAAATCCTGGGAACAGGACAGTCTGCAGCGTGGGAAGTAAGTAAAGAGCTTAGCACAGCCTGCGCAGAGAGCACGCTCACTGTGTGAGAACGGTTACTCCTGTGAGGTTCACTCTCATTGCATTCAGGAGGTAGGAGTGAATTCCCTCGTCATCTCTTGGAGAAAATGACGACCATGCAACATTGAAGGCAGGGTTCCCCCCCAACCCCTGCAACCCACGTGCTTTATTTTATTTTTAAATATATTTTATTAATTTTTTACAGAGAGGAAGGGAGAGAGATAGAGAGCCAGAAACATCGATGAGAGAGAAACATCGACCAGCTGCCTCCTGCACACCCCCCATTGGAATGTGCCCGCAACCAATGTACATGCTCTTGACCGGAATCGAACCTGGCACCCCTCAGTCCGCAGACCGACGCTCTGTCCACTGAGCCAAACCGGTTTCGGCCCACGTGCTTTATTTTAAAGGCAAGTTGGGGTGCTGCTTATGGCAGACTTCTTTGCTTGGATATATTTTTTGTTGTTGTTGTTAATCCTCACCCAAGGATATTTTTCCATTGATTTTTGCGGAGAGTAGAAGAGAGTGGGAAAGACAGAAATATCGATGTGAGAGAAGCACTTCGATGGCTTGTCTCCATAAGCCCTGACCAGGGCCCTGGGCCAGGAACCAAGGTGTCTGTGCCTTTGACCAGAATCAAATCCAGGACCCTTTGGTCGGCAGGCTGACGATCCATCCACTGAACCAAACTGGCTAGGTTGTGCTCCGCTGTTTTTAAAGGTTGAGTTTCCGAACAATGATACTCAGAGCCCACACTGACCACTTGTACTATTTTCATTCTTCAGAGTGCTTGAAAGGAAAGATGACTGCTTAGCTCGGACAAACTAATGAATGTGGAAAGGAAAGGAATGGAAAGGGAAGAAATGGAAATAAACAAATACAATCCTCCTCATGACAGAGCTGTAGAGAGCTCCCAGTGTCAGAGTGCTGAGGGGCCCTTCAGTCTGGGAGGGGGGTAGGGAAGGGGCAACTCCTCAGCCCGAGATGCCCCTCAGCTGGGTCCCAGGAGGAAAAAAAAAATTAAAACAAAAGAACTATCTCGTTTTTATTCCTGTTGGGCACTTTTGGGATGAGATGTCTTTGAGGGGGGAAATTCACTATTGTTAGTTGGACTGCTGTGTATTGAATTGCCATAGCTGCATATTAGAGGGTTTAAATACCATTTGTTGTTGGAGTTCTATTTAGACATTAGTGTTGACGTAAAGGAACAGCGTGAGGCGGTGGAGAGGAATACTCTGACAAACCTGATTCTAAAGACACACGTAAAAGGACGTTGAATGCGGTGGTGGTGATGGGCTAATGCCTGGGCCTACCCAGGACAAATGTGTTTTCAAAGGCACCGTCCCCTCAAAAGGTACCCCCGTTTATTTAACAAGCAACCGTGATAGCAGATCCCGCGTGAGCCGATGGTGCTAGTCTTCAGCTGTGATTTCTGCAGGTTGGATGATGGATGGAGCAAAACTTGGCTTACGATGCAGCGTTCTTACAGCTCGGTTTCACCCACAGATTGCCAGTCACTGACTGCTTTCTACAGGGCCGGCTTTTAAAATGGAATTGTCTGGAAGGCAGCATATTCGTGGCTGGTGCAGGTATGCTTAGTCCTCGAAACAATTATTTGCAGCAAGAAATGTTTTCTGTGGTGGGGTGAGTGTGGTCAGGGATTAGAAGGGAGAAGTTGGCTGTTAAGATCTTACGTCTGGGCCTAGCAGGTTTGGTTCAGTGGATAGAGCAACTGAAGGGTCCCAGGTTGGATTCCAGTCAAGGGTACATGCCCAGGTTGCAGGCTCAGTCTCCAATTGGGGGCATGCAAGAGGCAGCCCATCAATGATTCTTTCATCATTGATGTCTCTATCTCTCTCTTTCCTTTCCTCTTTGAAATCAATAAAAAGATTAAAAAAAAAAAAATCTTAATCTGGCTTCCAGCATTCAATCTTTCTTTCTTTTTTTCTTAAAAAAATATATTTTATTGATTTTTTACAGAGAGAAAGGGAGAAGGATAGAGAGCTAGAAACATCGATGAGAGAAACATCAATCAGCTGCCACCTGCACATGCCCCTGACCGGAATCGAACCCGAGACCTTTCAGTCCACAGACTGATGCTCTATCCACTGAGCCAAACCGGTTTTGGCAATCTTGCTTTCTTTGTAGTCCTGATGGCTGAGTCCCCTCTGGTTGAAGTATATTCTAGCTCAGCACTCAAACACTGTCCTGCGAAGGCCTGTGGGATTCTCATCTGCCCCTGGACATCGTTTCTCTTTCATGTGAAACTGAATGTCAATGAAAATAGAAAAAATCTGCCAAAGCCGGTTTGGCTCAGTGGTAGAGCATCGCTCTGCGGACTGAAGGGTCCCAGGTTCGATTCCGGTCAGGGGCATGTACATTGGTTGCGGGCACATCCCCAGTAGGGGGTGTGCAAGAAGCAGCTGGTCGATGTTTCTCTCTCATCGATGTTTCTAGCTCTCTATCTCTCTCCCTTCCTCTCTGAAAAAAAAAATCAATAAAATATATTTAAAAAAAAGAAAATAGAAAAAAATCAACCGACTCCTAGTTAAGTCCCACCTGTCACAGAGAAAATAGCTGGGGGCTTGGTTGTCCACTTGCAGTTGAGTCAAGCCAGCGGTATGGGAAGTTAGTCCACATTAAACTGCAGTGTGTCTCTCCCCTTCCAGTGAGCACCTGTCCACTACTAGCCTGAGAGTCAGTGCTTTGTTCATCTAAGATGTGTGTTGGCTCCGCCAGCGTGGCCCAGTGGTAGAGTGTTGACCTATGAGCCAGGAAGTCATGGTTCGATTCCCGGTCAGGGCACATGCCCGGGTTGCGGGTTCCATCCCGGTAAGGGGCATGCAGGAGACAGCTGATGGGTGATTCTCTTTCATCATTGATATTTCTGTCTCTCCCTGTCTCTTCCTCTCTGAAATCAATAAAACTATTTTTAAAAAGAAGGAAAAAAAGGTGTGTGTCGGTGGGTTAGTCATGTTCTACAGCAGTTTGTCCCCAAAGTCAAAGGCAACTCATCCAGGCACCTCGTGCTTTACTTCTGGTTTAGATTCCCATGTTGAGTTCAGAGTTGTTAGTAGTCGAAAGTGTGTGTGTGTGTGTGTGTGTGTGTGTGTGTTTAAAATGTTTTCATTGATTTTTTTTTTTTTTTAGAGAGAGAGGAAGGAAGAGGGATAGAAACATCCATGAGAGAGGAACCTCTGCATGCCCTCCACTGGGGAATCAAACCACCAACCCCGGCATGTGCCCTGACTGGGAATTGAACCAGCAACCTCCTGGGGTTCATGGTCTGATGCTCAACCACTGAGCACACCGGCCAGGCAAAGCACCTGTGTTTTTATCCTCCTCCCCAGGTAATTCTTGAACTCCCTGAGGTCTGAGGACCACCTCACTCTGCAGCACACTCTTGGGCTTTCTTCTGAAATCTGTGCCTAATAGAAGGGCTCAGGGGTACAGACTCTGATGCTGGGGATTCTAATCCCTCCTCCAGCCCCATCGCCCAAACCCCCGCTTTTCTGTGGTGAGAGGAAGCCCCTGTATGTAAGCCCTAGATGCAGTTCAAATAATGAGTGTCTGTTAGTGATTAGACTGAGTACACATTTGGGATGAGACATGCCTGTTTCTGGAAGCTTCCGGCTGGGAAAGGGCCAGAGGTTAGCATAAGCGTGCTGCCCTCTCCCCTAGGGCGGCCGCGCACCCCTGCTCCGGGCCCTCAGCGCTGTGCTCCTCAGGGAGCCGTGGTGCCTGGCGGCAGTGACTCTGGGAGGTAGCTGTTGCCCC